GGCACCTGTAATGTGGTGAGCCATGCCTGGCCGGCGTTCCGGACATCCTCGCCCGCCATCCTGCCCTGCTCGGCCAGGCCAGGCCTCCCCATGGGAGCGGCCAGCAGGTATCTCTCCCCGAGAGGTCTGTCTTGAGGTGTACGGTGCAGCTACACCCCAAGTCAAGCCAAGCCGCCGGCCGGCCCAGCCAGCCACACCCCGACGGGTCCGCCGGCCCGGCCCCAAAGACCCCGGCGCTCGAGAGTCGGAGAGCGTCACCTTCATCTCTGGCTCAGCCGAGGCCCCCCTGGACACCACGACCTGCTGCCTCCCCCGACCGTGGGTGTGGAACTTATGCAAGGCTGTATTCTGTTTCCGCCGCTGTCGGGCCTGCTATCAGCGCTGCGGGGGTTGTATGCGCAGCTGTGAGGCCTGCCTGCCCTCCCTGGGCCCTCCAGAGAGCTTTCCTGATGAGGGCTGGGGTAAGGAACACAACGGCGGCCCGCCCCCCAACAGCCCGGCCATTGCCCCTCCCAGCCGGCGAGACAGAGAGAGGTCCAAGTCGCCCATTGGCAGCAGCTTCAGCTACCCCGACGTCAAGCTGAAGGGCATCCCCGTGTACCCGTATCGGGGTGCGCCAGCCTCCCCCCCAGACGCTGACTCTTGTTACAAGGAGCCGCTGACCGAGCAGCCGCCCCGAGACAGCCTGCCTGGGACCTTAGGCGGGAGCCTGCGGAGCTCAGAGGAGTATTACTCCTTCCACGAGTCAGACCTCGACCTCCCCGAGCTGAGCGGCGGCTCCATGAGCAGCCGGGAGATTGACGTGCTCATCTTTAAGAAGCTGACGGAGCTGTTCAGCATGCACCAGATCGACGAGCTGGCCAAGTGCACCTCGGACACAGTGTTCCTGGAGAAGACCAATAAGATCTCCGACCTCATCAGCAGCATCACGCAGGACTACCACCTGGACGAGCAGGACGCCGAGTGCCGCCTGGTCCGTGGCATCATCCGCATCAGCACCCGCAAGAGCCGCAGCCGCCCGACCACCGCCTCGGAGAGCCGCCTGAGCCGGGGCCCCGCCCCTGACAGCGGCACCGACACCATGGTGGCCTCAGTGCTCAGCCAGGACGGTATGTCCTTCCCGTCCCCGCCAGCTCCACCAGCCATCCCAGGCTCTCTGGCCGTGTCATTGTCCTTCCCAAGCCTGCTTCCTCCTTGGTAAGATGAGGCTGGACTAGCGGTCTCTGCTGACCCTTCCAGCCCTCCATCCTGCAGTTCTTCAGTGTTCAGAGCAATGTACTAGGTCCTGGAGGGGATAAAGAAATGATCTGAGATGCCGATCTTGCCCTCCTAAAACTCAGTCTAGGAGGGGGAATGATCAGACGCAGATATACCCTGGACAAAATGTCGTATCTTTAGTACATCAGGGAGATAGGGAGTGCTGGGAGATGAGGAAAGGGTTTCTACCAAAATCCAGGCATTGGAAAAGGCTTCCTGAAGGTATGGGTATTTGGGGTATCTGTGTATAATGAGCCTATCTCCATCAAAGGAAGAGAGGAAGGGGAAGAATCCACACAGCAGTGTGAGCAGGCAGGCAGGGAGGTGAGGACCCGGGGCCAGTTACTAACCCACGCTCTTGGTCGGCAGCAAATACGAGACGGTCTGAGTGGGTGGTACCAGACTTTGGGCAAGACGGGGGATTTGTAGAAGAGGCAAAAGAATTTCAACTTAGGTGGTAGGAAGGCACGGAAAATCGGGAGAGTAATAGGATTTGATCTGTGCATAAGGGCATGGATTGAGAAAGGGAACAGTGAAGGCAGAAATGAGCTGGATTTATATACACATAGACAAGTACGGCAGCCAGAATAGTGTGCATTTCTGTAGTCCCTCTGCCCCGTTCCACCTCCAGCCAGGATGGGCCTGTACTCTCACTAGGAATAGCTCCTAGGCATGTCTGTGTTTAGGGTTCATTCCCAAAGCCCTAATGTTAGGCTGTCATAACAGCCCTGTGAAGGAAGGATGTAAGGGCAGGTATTCTCCCCATTTGACAGATTAAAGCCCAGAGGGGTTATCTGACTTGACCAAGGTGATGAAGCTAACAAATGGCAGAACCAGGTCTAGAAGGAGGGCTCCCCACTCCGAACCCTAAGCTCTTTTTCTAGGATATTGTTCTGTGCCTCCACTCATCCCTGGCCTCTGCCTTCATCAGCTCAGTCTAGATCTGGTGGAATTGGCCCAGGTTCCTGAGTGGCCCAAATGGCTGGGAAGCCGGAGGCCCAGAATGGGAGGGAGCTCAGAGGTCAGAGTCCAGCCTGTAGCTGCATGAGAACGTCCTTAGCAAGGAGTCATCACTTCTAGTGATGGGGCACGCCTCTGTACCCCACCCCTCACGTGCCCTTTCGCTTTGGGAGAGTCCTGATAATTGGATGGGTCCCCGACATGAAGCCTAACATCACCGTCACTGTCTCTGCAACTCCCACCCATTTTTCCTGGTTCTGCTCCTGACAGTTCCAATGCCTCATCCCTAGCAGAGATGTTCTAATATGGGGACGGTTGTCCTCTTTTGTCCTCCTTCCCCTCCGTTGTATTCTCCAGGATAAACATGGCCTGGGGCTTTCCCTGTCTGCCTTTAAGGATAGAAGGGGAGCTGAGGGAAGACTGGTTAGGCCATAACCACGCCTCACGGGGGGCTTTGGAGACTGAGACACCCTATCATTCCTTTTCTCAGAGCTGACTGTGCAGATCTCCCAGGAAACGACGTCAGATGCCATCGCCCGGAAACTGAGGCCCTACGGAGCTCCAGGTCTGGATCCCCAACATGGGCTTAGTGGGGAGGGAAGAGAGCCGTGCAGAGATCAGTCCCTTCAGGCTGGGGCCTGGCAGACAGCCACGGAGGCTTGGGAGTCCAAAGACCAGGGTTTTAATGCCAGCTCTGCCCCCTACTCCCCATGTAGCTTTGTCCAAGCCACAGCCTATTTCTGGGCCTATTTCCTCATCTATAAAATGAGGGGGTTGAACCACATGACCCCTGAGGGCCTATCCAGCTCTCAGTCTATGATGTTGTAGTTTCAGTTTCTTTTCCACAGCCAGGGGCTTAGAATGAGTGACCTTTTAACATCCTTCCTATCTGATGAATAAGACCTTGGGAGGGAGAGGCAGGGGAGGAAACACATCCAGCTAGCAGCAGCAGGCCTGTCTGTAGGCCAGTGAGAAAATGATTTGAAGAGATGGGGCTTCCAGAGGATAGGCTGAGCCCTGCCTGCATTCATTCATCTTTTGAGAGAAGAGACAGGATTATCGGCTGTGACCCCCTGAAGGAAGAAGATGGGCATTATTCCCATTTTGCAGATTGGGAAATTGAAGCCCAGAGGAGAAGCAAGTCAATGAATGAGATCCCAGAGCTTCTGATTGATTTGTCAGCTTGTATTCTGTGGCTCTCTAGGGGTAAATGGGGAGAAAGCCCCCCTCCCCAGCTCTGCTGCCTGAATCTCACCTTCCCTCCTTGTCTTTTCTCCTTAGGTTATCTGCCAAGCCACGACTCCTCCTTCCAGGGAACTGAGACAGACTCCTCAGGGGCACCCCTGCTCCAAGTGTACTGCTAGCCCCTACCCCAGCCCTCGGGGGCCTCCTGGGACTGCAGGCAGGACAGATGGGCCCCCACGAACAATTCTTCTTCCCCCTTCCAGTGGGTCACCTTCTAAGCAGGTCTGGGGATGGACTCACACCCTAAAACCAGGCTGCAGGCTCTGGACGGTAATGCCTTTGGAGGTGTGACCACCCTCACCACCCTTCCAGCGGCGCACCCACTGTTTACCCCCTTCCCCACACCTCACATTAATTTCCTGATTCCATGAAGTACTAGGTTTCAGAGCCTTTCCCCTAATCCCCAAGGGCTTTTCTCTCCAGCTCTTCAGGGGAGGGATTTCCAGGGCCCTGCAGGCTCCAAGGGCTTTCTGCTTTCCTAGTGAATGGGTGGGTTTCGTGCTTTCCTTTTCGTCTCTCCTTCAACTAGGAAGCCCTCCCCAGCCTTTCTGGGTGACAGGTTCATTTGGGATTATGTGACTATGGCTACAGATCCGTATTACTGGTTACACTTCAACTGGTTGCTCTTAACTCATGAAAGCCTGCGTCTTCTGTGATCAAGAAGCTTGTATGATATTAATAAAGCTGTTGAGACAATTCAGGTTCACACACTTGCTCGAGGTCACACAGCTGGTGGGCCTGGAGCAGGAATCCCGCTTAGCCGCCTCTTTCTTTACCCTAGAGTCCTTTGGCTTGGGGGGAACACGAAGGAGGGGCTGAAAGACCACCGTGCAGCACTCAAGCCTTGGACCCTGTGCCCAGGGTGGGAGAAAGCTCTCCTGGGAGCCGAGGGTTAGTTTTTTCAGACCAACGTTTCCTGTCTGGGCAGAGTGAGGTCACCTGAAGGAAACACCTGTTCCAATGGCCTTGGGGAGGTCTGGCCAGCACTGCCAAGGTCTGAGATGAGGGACCTGACCCACATTCCCATTCAGGGCAGCAAGTTCTTGGTATGAAGTATCAGTCAGGAAGTGAACCTCTGCCCAACAACAGACAAGTAGTGGGCTCGTGGCCCCCAGAGACAGCTCTGAAAAATAGTCCTGGCTCTTGAAAACGGGCAAGTCTGTAATGGAAGGTCTCTAGAGCTGACATTTCTAGTCCCTTTCAGGTGCCCTGCTGAAGCATCCCGGGGCCCCACAGCCCAGAAGTGCTCCTGACAAACCAATCTAGCCAGGCGGCTGTGGCCTTCCCTCCAGCTGCCAGGGCATTGGCCCCAGATACCTCGGGCACAGCAAAAGACCTTGGCTCCCTGTAGAGGAACAAACAAGGGGCCTCAGAGCTGGACTTTACCCAGGGGGCAGGAGCCTAGCTCAGGCCAGAGAAGCCTGGGCCAATGCCATTCAGAGTGCTTACCCTCTCCACGCAGCAGGGGCCAAAGAGGGGGTAGGGGGTCCCACCTGTCAGTGGGCACCGTGGGAGGTGTTAATGAAAAGACAACAGGCCAGGGTCAAACGTTCCTTTACTTCTGTAACAGGCAGAGGGGAGTACAAGCTGCTTTCTCCTCCCACCCTGGAGGCTCCAGGAACAGTCCTGGGAGTTGCCTTTGGGGCTGAAGGCCCACCCAGGGCCAGGGATCCTGTGCCTGGCCCTGCATTACAATCCTTCCTCTAGGGTAGAAGGTGTCCAAAGAGGTCAGGCAAGGGGGAGGAGGAGCATAGGATCCCAAGGGAAAGGTTGGGGGTATGAAGATGCTAGTTGAATTTGGCTTTGGAAAAGTCCATTTCTGGATGCTGCTCCATAAACCTAGGGAAGAGAGCGAGAGAGAGTGAGCCAGAAACAGGCCAGAGCTAGGAGATGAGGGTGAAGGACAGGGCTTCCCTGCCTCATGACCTAGGAACAGCCCCAAGAGGTTGGAAACCGAGGTGCCAACACCAGCATCCGTCCCCAGGCTGGGGCGATGACTACTGGTTAGGCCAGGATTGGCCTTGCCCTGGAGATGGCCCTATGGGTGTGGGGGTGCTATAAAAGCATAAAGATGGCCAGCACAGTTCTCCTCAGGGGCCCGCTAGGGCCCCAATGACACTCACTTTTTCAGAATCTCCTGCTTCTTTTGTTCCTCCGAGGTTGGCAGGCCCATGGATTTCTGCCGCTGGTCATACATCATCTTCTCCACCATACTTCGGGTCTCACTATCGAGGTCAGACAGCTGGCACGGGAGGCAGGCAAGGAGGAGGATAAGCGCCCCCACTGTGAGCTACCCCGGGCTCAATGCCAGCCCTGCCCAGATGCCCGCTGCTGGCTCACCTTAGAGTTCTCTGGGTTAATCTTCTTGGTGTTGATCTCAGGGTCAGTGGAGACCACGCGGCTCCACCACTCCATCTTGTTGATCTGGGGGAGCAGGGGGAGAGATGGGTTTATACACAGGAAGCAACTCGTGGAGTTCACACTGGAATCTCCCAAGGGACAGCAAGCCTAGCCCTGAAGGGTTGGAGATTCCTCTCCAATCCTTACCCTCCTCACCCTCTGATCCCCCCAAACCTCTCCCTGCCTCCTCAGCTTCCCTAGGGCACCCCCCAAACATCCCTCTGCTTCTTTGGTCTCTCTAATCCCCCCAAACCTCTCCCTGCCTCCTCAGCTTCCCTAGGGCACCCCCAAATATCCCCCTGCCTCTTCAGCCTCTCTTATCTCCCCAAACCTCCCCCTGCCTCCTCAGCTTCCCTAGGGTACCCCCAAACATCCCCCTGCCTCTTCGGCCTCTCTGATTCCCCCAAACCTCTCCCTGCCTCCTCAGCTTCCCTAGGGCACCCCCCAAACATCCCCCTGCCTCTTCGGCCTCTCTGATCCCCCCAAACCTCTCCCTGCCTCCTCAGCTTCCCTAGGGCACCCCCCAAACATCCCCCTGCCTCCTCGGCCTCTCTAATCCCCCCCAAACCTCCGCCTGCTTCCTCAGCCTCCCTAATTGCCACCAGGGGGACAGACAGTTGCTAGGGCCCCACCTTTTCCAGGTGCACTGTCACCACCTTGCCATCTTCAATGAGCCAGGAGCTCTCCTCCACCTTGACCTCATTGTAGAGCTCACCGGCAATGAGTGGGGGCTGCCCCTTCAGCCCCACCTGCAGATGCCGCCGCTGAATGTCCACGACCACGTCCTTGCCCTTCAGTCGGAAGCTCACAGAGAAGGGCACGGCCAGCTGAGGATGGGACGTGACAGGAGATGAGGCCTGTTTGCTGCAAGGAGTCCCCCTCCATGCCCATCTCCCTGACCACTCACATCCAACTCAGACAGGGTCTGTGTCCACCGGTAGTGGGGGAGGTCAGCTCCATTGCCTGCGTTAGGTCTCAGTTTCCCTTTGTCCTTTTCATCTTCCTCCTCTTCGTCATCATCAGCCTCCTGCTCAGAACCAGAGGTCAGACTCCTGGCTCCCCTGCCTGCCTCCCCTGCCCACCTCCACCCCATCCCCATGGGACACCCTCGCAGAAAGAGCCAGCCTGGTCTGTGCAATACCACGGGCTAGAGAAGAATGAGGAACACCATGACGTGGCCTTGCAGAGTTCGCCACGTCCAGAAGGCAGAGCTCAGAGATGGCCAGGACTGCACTCACCTCCTTCATCAGAGACTGGCCATTTTATCTGGCGTGTACCCCCTCCCCTGACGCAGACTAAGGCATGGGAGGCCTGCCCTGGAGTTCTGATGCCAATCCAGCCTCTGAGAGGGGCTGCTTGGCGGCCCACCTCCATATGGGGAAGGCCCACCATGATAGGACTACCTTCCACTGGTTCATGATACAGAAACTTCTGGGGGAGGACACTTTCTACCATTGCAGGTCAACTTGCCTAGAACCCTGAGAGGTGTGCCCAGGGTCACATCCAGCAGGGGTCAGAGGGAGGACCTGAACCCAGCTCTCCATCCATTATGCCAGCTGCCTCCCACAGGAGACGTTTACAGTTTAAAAAGTGCCTTTAAATCAACTATATTCATTTCATCATGACAGATCTGGGAAACAGATGGGGTAGGAATTATCCCCATTTTACAGATGAGAAAATTAAGGCCTCGAGAGAGAAAATGACTTGCCTAATCTGTTCCTGGCAAAGTGGAACTAGAAATCTAGAATGGCCAAGGCTCTTCCAGTGCATTTAGGAAAGGGGCAGTGTGAAAAATAAACTGATAACAAAGCCCTTGGGGTGAGGGGGCAGTGAAGACACTGGCCATCTGATGCCCTGCCTGATTCTTCACCTGTTTCACCGCTGAGTTGGAGCTGTTCAAGGGCTGAGCTGGTCCGTCCCCCTTCTGATTGTTTTCCTCGCCCTTCCTCTATGGAAAAAAAAACAAGCATTGTGTGCCAGGGTGCCCTGGCCTGACCACCCATGCACACTGTGCCATCAGGCCCTGGGCCTCTGTCTCACCCGGTCAATCTCCAGCTGGAGCCTTTCGGCCTCCTCGTCCGTCAGCTCCTTGATCTGGGGCCCAGAGGCCTCCTGCTGGGCCTCACGGGCCAGTCGCACCGCTCGCTCAGCCTTTTCTCGCCGCTCAGCTTCCTGCCTCGCCTGCTTCTCTCGACGCCCCTTCTGGGCCAACTGGTTGTGGTGGCGGAATGTCTCATTGATGAGCTGGAGAAGAAAAGATAGAGGTGATGCCTGAAAACAGTTGAGATGGGAGAGCTCGAGCTTTCCCCCTCCTCTGCATCCTTCTGCATCACTGCTCTGGTACCTCAGGAAGAGCCAACCCAACCCTATCCACCCTCCAAGGCCCAGCGCAAAGCCCAGAAAGCCTTCCCTGCTCATCCCAGCCCATAGCTATCTTGTATAGGACACAGCCTAAAGCTTATAACCCCGAAAACACAGAATGTCAGAGCTGGGAGGGGCCTTAGAACACAGGGTATCAGAGTTAGGAGGGCCCTCAGAACACAGACTGTCAGAGCTGGGAGGGCCCTCAGAACACAGACTGTCAGAGCTGGGAGGGCCCTAAGAACACAGAATGTCGGAGCTGGGAGGGCCCTAAGAACACAGAATGTCAGAACTGGGAGGGCCCTTAGAATACAGAATGTCAGAGCTGGGGGGCCCTAAGAACACAGGGTGTCAGAGCTGGGAGGGCCCTCAGAACACAGGATGTCAGACCTGGGAGGGCCCTCAGAACACAGGATGTCAGAGTTGGGGCTCACTCTTCTATCCCCACCCCACCCCAGGTGCCCCTTTCCAGGCTCACCATCCCCAGCTCCTTCACCATCTCATCCAAGTCCTGAAGATGCGGCTACATCAGGGTAGGAATCAGTGTATTACTTATCTTCCTGCCCTGCCTGGCTTGGCCTCTAGATGGCTTCTAATGCAGCCTGAGGCTACAGTCACTGTTCTGGCTGCTTTCTAATATTACTGACTCACACTAAGCTGGCAAGCCATTAACCCCCAGACCCTTTTTCAGATGAACTGGTATTTAGCAATGCTTCACCACTGGACTTCAGAAGTTGATTTTCTGGACTGGTCTAAGCCTTTATATTCACCCCAACTCTATCTGATCTCATCTGATTCTGACTGCCAGTGTGGAGACTATTTGGGCTTTTGCTTGTCCCCCCAATTTTGGGTCATTTGTAAATGTGCTAAATACCCCACTACACATCCCCTAATCTGCCAGAGTCAGGAGATCAGTCTTGTCTGGCATGGGTTTGAGGGAGCTGAGCTGCTACTTTCTGATCACAGTATCCCCACTTCTAGGCATTCCCTGCACACACCCTCCTTGAGAACACACTCTAGAATTCTGCCAGCATTCAGTCACTCTTGCTGGCCTCCATGATGTGCCGTTCTCTTCCCTTCTGTCCTGTGGCCCTTCTTCCGGTGTCTCTGGTGGCACCCACAGGCTCAGCAGATGGGCCTGGGGCTCCCTTCTCAGCTCCATTTGGATGGCTAAGAGCAGAGCAGTGGGTCAGAGCTCCCAATTTGCTTCTGGCCCTGACGTGGCTCTGGAGGGTTTTCCCAGCACTTCTGCCACAACTCTGGGCAGTTTAATCCCCATTATTCTCCATACCTGATCAATGTGGAGGTGGGGGGAGACTTGAGCAGCCTGGCCCGTAACTGGCCAAAGAGTTCAAAGTGCTAAGCGGCAGAGCTAGGACTCAAAACCAAACTTTTGTGGTCAAATATGTCTCCTCTAACAGCTGCAGCCCCCACATGGCACAGTGCAGAAGCCCTGCCCGGCAGCCAGGCTCTAGCTGCAGGCCTCTCAGAGAACTCTGGGCCAGGGAGTTTGAGGGGGTGGCAGCTTAGCACAGGCGCCCAGGAAAGGCCAACCTCAGGAAGAGGACCTTTAATGAGGGGAATGGATCCCTTCAACCCATCTGCTAACCTGGGCAACAGGACTACTTCTCAGCCTCATGAGGTGAGGAAGGCCAAGGCCTCTAACTCAAGCAAGGCTTAGCCAAAAAACTGAAAACCAAAACCAAAATCAAACCAAAACAAACCCGTGGTGCCAGGATGGAATCCCTAGGGACCACTTGCTAATCTGAATTTGTCCAGTCCCACCTTGGAGGGCTCAGCACGGCAATGCCCAATGACAACCAAGCCTTACATAGAGTTTCGCAGTCCAGCGTTCAGCTGGTGCTTTTCCTCCATCAGCTCACTTCATGACAACCCTGGGAGGTGGGTGCTACCGCTATTATCATCATCTTAGAGATGAGGAAATGGAGGCTTGGAGAGGGAAGGTGATTTGGCTAACATCATGGACTGAGGGAGGGCAGCAAATCCATTCCTCAAAATCATACGAAATATGGGGAACAAAATGGAGACAGACCCATGTTCCAAAGTGATGGAATACTTCCAACAAGACTGAAATCCACGTTTTTAAAACTATCTGAAAGAACAGGCCAGAAACAGAGTCGGGTTCACCAGAATACTGAACGGAGGGGAGAAGTGTTCACGTGCCACATTCCAATGACAACGAAGCAAAGACAAACCCAAGGAATTCAGAGAAATACAGAAAGATTACAGGAGCTGATGCGGACTGAAGCGAGTAGAGCCAGGAAGAGAGATGCGAGGACCAGAGTAACAGAAACAAAGAGCGTGGAGCAGCTGAGCTCCCAAGCGTCTGGCAGAGATGGACAGCCAGCAAAGGAAATGACGGCCAGGCACGAGAAACAAAGACTTGGGGACCAACGTAGCAGAACATAAGGATATCGTCTCGACTCTTCTGGATGTTGTTTTCAGGAACACGTTTTGTATCTAAATTACATTTTAATGGAGGGAAAATAGGACATTCATGCCAGACCTAAAAGATGTCGTACAAAGCACATCCATTGACCGCTGACACAAAGAAAGGCCTCAGAGTTACCCAAGCCCAACCCCCCCTCATCTCACACAGAAGGCAACCGAAGCCCAGAGACAGAGGTGACTTGCCCAAGGTCAAGAGGGAGAGCTGCAAAGATAAGCCTGTGTCCTTCCCACAACATCCACAGCCCGTTGGCTTGGCCACGTCAAAGTGAGCCGTGGAATACCTGCCATCTCTGCTGATGGCCGGGGACGATGTGGACAATTCTGTTTGGGAAAGGGGAGAATTTCTAATGCTACTCAGTATGTTCAACAAAGCGCAGGACAACCGGCTGTCTTCCCTTGAACCTCTTCCATCCTCTCCTTGAGAGGGGGCTCCATTGCTAGTGGCTCTGTACCACAGCATCCACCACGGGGCCTGGCGTACCGATGAGTGACTGGCCCAGTATCTCAACATCTCGGGAGCCAGTCCTCAGACCTCAAGATGCCTTTGGTTCGTTTCAGACAGGATCCCAAGATCCCAGACTTCATGCTGGAATGGACCTTAGAGGTCCAACCTTCTCATTTCAGATTTCATGGAAGCTCAGGTCGAGGGAAGGAAAGGGACTTTTGTGACTCCAAGACTCTTCTCACTCATTGACAGGCTTTCCTGGCCAGGTATGAGTGAGGCAGCTGGTCTGGGAGGGTATATGTGCCAAGAATTAAGATTGAAAGACAGGAGATGAGGCAGAATCAGCAAAGCAGTCTTTAAATAACTGTAGAAATGAAGAAGTCAATAAAAGTGATTTTGTTGATTTTCAGCTTTTGGGGAGCTAAGTACTAACAAACATTATCTTCCCATGACACACTAGAAAATGTGAAGCCATTTGCTGAGAGCTCCCTCTTACCCGTTCCCTCCTCTCACATCAGTCAGATGCCTTTTGCCATGATCTCACAGAATTAGGTGAAACTTCTTGCCAAGGCAAAGCCCACTACACACACAGGTGACCCCATTTATTCCTGTCTCCTCCAGCAGACTTCCCACCAATCTTTACTCTCTCTCTTCCTGTCTCCCTGGTTGCTCTTTCTTGCCTACAAACATACCCATCTCCCCCTTCCTCCACAAACCCTCCTGTAAGACGCCCATGTCCGTCCCTCTTGTCAGCCTCTCTCTCCTCCCTTCTGAGGCTAACCTCGAGAAGTCCATTCACAATCGGGGTCTCCCACGTGCTTCTGTCTCACTCTCTTAACTCTCTTCCGTCTGGCTCCTGATGACACCGCCCCCCCATCCTTCCAGAGTTTCCAATGATCTCTCACTTGTCAAATCCAATGGCCTTTTCTCAATCCTCATCCTTTCTGGCCTCTCTTCAGCCTTTGAAACTGCTGATCACCCTCTTCTTGGTAATCTCTCAAGGCTTTGGTGACACTGCTCTCTTATTCTTCTCCTCCTACCCCTTCTCAGTTTCCTTCCGTGCTATCTCCATCTAGGATAAGTCTGTGAACCTTAAGCGTCCCTTAGGGTTCCGTCCCAGACCCTCTTCTCTTCCTCCATACTGTTTCACTTGGTGATCTAATTATCATCTCTGTGCTAATGAATCTCATATCTACGTAACCTGCTTTGACTTTTCTGCTGACCTCCAGACTCACATCTCCAACTGCCGGTTGGACATTTCAAACTGACATCCCCTAGGTATCTTAATCTCAACATGTCCCAAAGTGAACTCATTACCTTCCCTCCAAAGCCCCCTCCTTCTTTCTTTTCACTTTTCCTGTTACTGTCAAGGGTATGGCCATCCACCCAGTTACCAGGCTCCCCACCTTAGGCTCATCCTCAAATCTTCCCTCTCTCCCCCTAACCCCCAGATCCAATCTGTTGCCAAGGCCTGTCGACTATCCCTTCATAAGACTTCTCAAATACATCCTCTTCCCTGTACTGTCACTACCTTGGAGCAAGCCCTCATCCTTACACACCTGGACTATTATACCCTGCTACTTGGGCTCTCTGCCTCCAGTCTCTTCCCATTTTAGTTCAGCCTGCACTCAGCCATCAAAGTGATTTTCCTAAAGCCCAGGTCTGACTGACACTCCTCTCTCCCTCACACCCTCTCCCCTCCCCCGCCCCAGCCCTTGCACTCTTGGTATGACCCACTGACCTTTCACTGGCTGTCCTCTGTGCTTCCTTCTCTTCAGTCTCCTGGTTTCCTTCCAGGCCAAGTTCAAATCCCACATTCTGCAAGAAGGCTTTTTCAGCCTTCCCCACCTGCTTGGCCTTTCTCTCTTGTGCATTACCTTCCATTTGTCCTGTATCCATCTTATTTGTCCATCCCCACCTGCCTGTTGCCTCCCCCCACAGACTGTGGGCTCCAAGGCAGGGGCTGTGTTTTGCCTTTCTTTGCATCTCCAGCTCAGGATATGCCTGGCACAGAGTTGCCAATAAAAGCTTGCTGACTTAACTTGACAAATATGAGAAGACAATTACTTAAAACTGGAGTGTTTACAGCTAGACTTCTATACACACTGCATGACAGCAGGAACAAGGATATGCCTTGATGAGAAAGAGAGCTCTTCAGAAAGCATATGGAACAGCTGTGAGAATACCTCAGACCATGGATACAGCACCAGCCCTGACGTCAGGAGGACCTGAGTTCAAATCCGACCTCAGACCAAACACTTGACACTTACTAGCTGTGTGACCCTGGGCAAGTCACTTAACCCCAATTGCCTTAAAAAAAAAAATGCCTCAGACCCAGCCCAAACTTTCCCACCTCCACATTTTTGTCTCCATACATGTGGAAGATCCACCTAGCATTCTTTCTCAACAAATCTCACAGCACTTTGTGAAACTACAGTTAATTCTGTTGGTGCTCACCCCTTACCTCTCCAGAGAGATCTCTATGAAGTCTTGCACTATATTTTCTCTAAAACTGTATCTTTGCAAGTGCCCAGAAGAACACAATAAATGCTCTTAGCTCTTTACTTGTGTGACCTTAGACAATTCATGTTTCCTCCCTGGGCCTCAGCTTCCTCATCTGTTGGGTGTCCAAGATCCCTTCCTCAGGAATCATAGGAGGCAGTGTGGCCTAGTGGAAAGAACCCTGGATGTGGGGCCAGAGGGGCTGGGTTTAATGCCAGTCAGGCTAACTTCCAAGGCGGGTTGGTGAGCACTGCAGTGAGCCCAGGGTTTGCAGGCAGATCTGATCCAGTGAAATACTAGCCCTGCCATTTACCACCTTCACCTCTCTGAGACTCAGTTTCCTCACCTGTAAAATAACAGGGGTTAGAATAGATGACCTCTAAGGGCCCTTCTGGTTCTGCATCTATGATGCTAGGAAGCTCATTCTAAAATTACAAAAACCAAAAGAGATGAAATGTAAAATTACTGCCACTGCTGCTACCTTCACCACTCCTGGGAGTCAAAAAGGCCTTTGGGGTTTCAGCAGACCTCACTCTTACCACTTAGCACTGTGTAATCCTATATAAAGTTCTCATGGTTGGTCATTTGGGCTCTGACCAGAGAAGGGCTGGCTATGCTACCCTCAATGTCTCATTAAGCACTTGAAGTGATGGACAGAAGCTTTGTAAAATAGAACAACTTCCCAAACAAAAGGGGAGCCCCGGTACACGGCGGGTACTGAGGCAAGGCCACAAACAGGTTAATTTTGAGCCCCCAAGGGAGGAGCCAAAGCCTGACACCTCACCTTCTCAGCCATCCCCTCCTCGCCACCAATGAAGAAGTCTGTTTTTCGTCGCAGGAAGCTGAAGAAAGTGTTGACAAGCTGGAAGACAGAGAGAGAGAGAGCTGAGGATACAGGTTAAATAGCTGGGATTCTTCTAAATGTTTTTTAATACTTGTCTGATAATGGACTTGTTCAATTTTTCAACTTGCCCTGAGTAGCCAGGCCCATCTTGGATGTGATCTTCCTTCCTTCCTCTCATCCTTTCCCTCCTTCCAATCCCAGCTGAAGCCTCCTCAAGGAAGCCTTTTTCCAGGCCTGAATCCAGGTATTAGTCCCTGCTCAGGCACTCTACAACCACCCTTCTCCTCCAATATAAGCTGAATGGTTCATTTTAAAATGCTGTTTGTGTATGGGCCCCCATGGCTACAAAAGCCATGCCTTCCCCTACCCCAAAGTAAGTACAAAAACCGAACTGCCTCCTTAGTCTAGTTGTCTATGCAAGGGTGGAAGTGAAGGGTATGGGAATAATGAAGGGACTGGAGGTGGTTGAAGGTGTCAGCATGGAGAAGGGAACTAGAGAGCAGTAACACCACAGATAGAAGGGAGACCTGGAAAGGAGTCAGGATGGGGGCAAGGGAGAGACCTGGAAGGGATCAAGATGGAGGGGGAAGGGGGAGAATCAGGGAATCAGGGATGAGGAATGAGGGAGGGAAAAGACCTGGAGATCAGGATAAAGAATAGGGATGGGAGGAGAATCTTGGAAAATACTGAGGTGGGGGGAGTGGGGCGAGTGAAACTGAAGATCAGGATGGTGAAGGTGAGGGGGACAGAAGCAGGATGGGGGTGGGGGGAAGAGGGAGGCTTGGAAACCAGGAAGGGGGCGGGGTGGAGATCAGGAGATCAAAGTGGGAGGGGGGACTCTGGAAACCAGGATTAGGAAGGAGAAGATCTGGAGATCGGTTTGGGACCCGGAGACCAGGATGGGGTGGGAGGGCAGAGATCCGGAGAACAGGTCACGGAGGGGTTTGAGGGGGCAGATCTGAGGCCCAGGATGAAAAGAGATGGAATGGGAATGGGGATGGGGAGGATGAAGGCTGGGGGGGGAGAAGAGGGCCCTGACCGCCGCGAGCCCTCTGGCACGTGGGGGGCGGCCGGTCCCTCTCTCCCGCCGCGGCCCCGTTACCTCCTGCACGCCGCCCTCGTGCTGCTGGGCCATGGCCAGCAACATGCCGTCGAAGCGCTCCTCTTCCTGCTCCCCGCCCATCTCGCCGGCCCCTTGGCTCAGCCGCTCGCTCTGATCGCTGTTCAGGCCCTTCTCCCACTCCCGGGGCCGCTCCAACGGTTCCCTGCGGCCGCCTCCGCCTTCCTTCCGCAGTCGAACCGGAAGTGCAGCGCCGCCGCGCAGCCTCAGACTCGCTGAGCTCGGTGCTCCCCAACCCGCCTCGCCGCGCTCGGCCAATGGCTGAGCGAGAAGCTGGCCTCTCCGCCCGAGAATTGGCTGTCCTTGCGACCAATTGGCGAGAACATCCGGGGGCGAGGGGAGGAGCTGAATTAGACCGGTTGTTTGGCTGTGTTGCTATCGTTACCAGGTGCCCTCGAGCTTTCCAGAAAACTCTAGGCCTAATTCAATGCATGGGAGTCACGGGTTAGGAAATAAAAGGGTTGGACTTTCCTGCCGCATTTCTCTCTGGCCGGTCCTCACCAGCGAAGTCTCAAGTTCCTAAATTCAGGGCTCTTGTACTTAAGGAAACTCAAATCTGGTTCCAGCGTTATTCCCCAACTGCAGCCGTTCGTTCATTCATTCATTCATTCATTCATGGGCAGTATGAAGTAGCACAGGGAATATGAACCGGGAGCAAAAAGAAACCTGGGTTTGAATCCTGCATTAGGCATTTGTTTGTCTGTTTGTTTGTCATTCAACTAGCATTTGTTAAACACTGTCTTTCAGCAACCACTGGAAATGATTGTTTTGGAAATGACTGTAGAAACACAAACCACTAAAAATAAAAAAGTCCTGAAGAGGGTTTCATTCAGTTTCAGAAGCCAAGATCTTTGCCACTAATAGTTTTATAGTTAAGCCCTTTTCCAAAGCCTGGCCTCACCTTTTAAGCTTATTCAAATGCATCTTTCTTCTCTGGCCCTGAAAAGAACCTGGCTTCACTTTGTTTACCAGTCCCAGGAAACCCTTAAAGTTTTGGAAGCTGCCTTATTTCCCTTTGAAAAGCAGACTTCCCCCCCTTCCAGTTCCCTTCATTATCTATTCTCATTGTCTGTTCAAATCTGTCAGACATTCCAAACAGAAATTCAAACCTGGACCCTTCAACTGACCTCTCCTTCCATTATTTTGCCATCCTGACCATTCTCACCCTTAATCCTAGCTAGGCGCCACAAGGTCCTGGACCCAGGTGTTCCGTTCACCCCAGCTTGCTGGCCACCCCTATCCAGATCTCCCTATGCCCTGCCTCCCCTCACCCCAAACTGCTTGGCCACTCCTAGACCACTCCCCCAGTCTTTCTGTACTTAAGACTCATCTTTGCCCCATTCTGACGATGAGCTGTCCTCAAGCCTAGAGGCTGAGGCTCTAGCCCCCTCGTCCTCACGGGAATTACGTGGCCTAACCACCCCAGGCCCCACTCAGACGCTGAGCTTTCTTCATGCCCAAGAGGCTGAGACTGCCTCACTGGCTCGTCCTTACAAGGGTCACCTGACTACATTAGCCCCATTTAGATCACTGATGTTTTGGTTCCTTTGGAGTCTGGCCTATATGCTTATCTTTAATAAACTTTTTCTCTGGCTGGAAGATCTGGGTTGAATTCATTCAGGCAGATCCGTACCGCGATTTGGGCTTTTTCCTGCCATCTTGGGGTGCCTCTGTGCATCTAGGAGCACCCTAAACCCCTCCCCCTTCAGTCCCTGACCTCAAGAAGTTTGTACTTCCTTAGAGGGAAAAACAATGTAGCATAAACAGATAAGAAAATTAAAATGTGTGCAAAAGTCATAAAATAAAAATGTGCGAGAGAAGCAAAATATTAACAAATGCTTTAAACATTCCTTCATTCCTTTATCACCAAAGACCCACATTTGATCGACACTGTGTAGAAGAGAGAGAGAGGGAGGGAGGGAGAGACAGAGACAGAGACAGAGAGACAGAGAGAGAGAAAATGCAGCTAAAATCAAGGACCTTTGGAGGACACCAAATGCTTTTAGTGGATATGTTACCTATTTTGCCTTCCATTACCAAGTACTCCCAGATTTTATTATCAGTAGATAATACTTTTCTGAGAAAACAGAAGCCATCTGTCATTAGTTTCCCTTATCTCAAAAATCTTTTACATCATGCCCCATTCCCTCCTCCTTTGTTCCAGTCCATTATGAAGAGGTGGCCCTTTTTTGCCAAGCCCAACTCCTCAGCTTGTGCTCTTATCTCATTTCCTTACCTTTTTAGTCATTCCCTCTCCCTCTCTCTCTCAACTTTATGTATCTACAGGCTCCTTTCCTGCTGCCTACAAACATACTTTAAGGATGGTCCCTCACATCCTTAAAAAGCTTTCATTTTACCTTGCCATCTCCTCAACTACCATTCTATATCTTCCCTTCCATTTGCAGCCAAACTTAAAAAAAAAAGGTTGTCCATTCCCCTGGCTTCCATTTCATCAGATTCTGCTCACTGCTTAACCTGATGAATTCTGGCTTCTAACTAGGCTAGTTCCAAAGTTAGTTATTGGGGATCTCTTTGTAATTCTTGGCTCAAGGGGTCATTTGCATGGGATTATCTTCATTAATGGAGATTGATTGCTCAATCAGACAATTAAGGTTTCTGGCTCCTCTTCAATTTCTTCCCAGAATCTTTCTCTCTCTTCAGAAACTGGAATAGAATTTGGAACTATGTGTCTTCTCTTTTGAAGATGGAATCAAGACCAGGATCTCTCTTCTGCCAGACTCTTACCAACTCTGCTCCTCATGGCCCTCAAGCCTGATGAGCCCCAAGAAATCAATCTCCACGGATGGAGAGTCTTGTGTGAATAGCTCTTTGAATCAAGGGCTATATCTTAATTGCTAAATCCCATGGGCCCATCTCAGTCTCCATCCTTCTTGATCTCTCAGCAGCTTTTGACCCTATTGACCATCCCTATTCTTGGATACTCTCTCCTCCTTTGACTTGTATGAGACTGCTGTCTCCTGATAATGAAAACTGCCCTTAACGAAGCATCAAGGAGTAGCTCCAAATCAGTCAGTTTATCTTGGGATAGTCCCAGTCATTGAGACCTAAACTCATTTTTTTTTTTTAACGAAGAAACAGAAGCTTAGAGAGAAGTGATTTACCCAAATCAGCTAAGATGGAGTCCCCTGCTTGGAAGCCTCTGGGGACCTGGTTCTGAGAGACAGAAGGCACCTTTGTGGACATTTTGCATTAACCTACCACATAGATGGGGCAGACTTGACCTTCAGAGTGGGGCCAGAGCAACAAACTCATATTACACTAAGGTTCCTAAGAGGATGAGGTCTTGCCAAAACCAACCCTCTGGGCTGTCCTGTAAGAGAGAAAAGACAGTCAGCTCTCAGGAGTTTTGTTTTTAACTTTTCCCCTTTCAACTTATTTCTTGAATGCAGGGGAAGGGGAAGGGGGGAGCTCACCCCTCCCCGAAGGAGCCATTAATGACTGCCTTGGACAGTCCATGGCAGTTGCATGGACTTATCCACAGTTTTATGAGTGGACTTTCTCAGCAGCTGTGGCAGAAGTAGAGTGTCAAGAGTTCCTGCTGAAGTGAACGGTGGAAGCAAACATACACCTGTCTATGTGGCCTAAGACTAGAGGTCACGTACAATGTTTCCAGACCTTCAACCTTCTGTATAGAGTAGAAGACTCTAGTCTGTTGTATGGTCTGATGCTGAGTACGTGAGCAGAACCAGGAGAACGCTGTACACGGTAACAGCCATGCTATGCGATGACTAATACTGATAGACTTAACCCTTCTCAGCAATACAAGGATCTGG